TCAAGGAGAAGGCCTTAGCGTCCTTCCAGCGCCTCCCGCAGAGCAGCAGCCAATTCCTACGCAGCAAACAAATGGAGTGAGGCACGGAAGCCCAGACTCTCCCATCCTCTTTGCCCTCAAGGCAGGCCAAATCCTGGAAAGCACCCTAACAGTACAGGGTTATCCAGGGCCGCCGCGCGACGACGCCGGCCTACCTGTGGTCAACCGCTTGCCGAGACTCCGAGCGTGGCCACAGACCTAGAACAGCGCCTTGACACGCGCGGCGTGCAAATCCAGCCAGACAAAACCCAATTCATCGAGAGCCGCGCAGACGAACAACCCAGCAAGCTCAAACTTGGCAAACCAGTGATAAAGGCGCCAATACGCCAATCAACATGTTCAACCAGCCGGTGGCCTTTCAAAACAATGAGAGCCACCTAGCAGCCCACCTGGCGACCAAAGCACGCAGTTCGTTCCACAAGCAAAGCCACATACTAACATTGGCAGCCCCCCTGACAGCAAAGCTCAAGCTCATCAAGACCACCATCACCACATCAGCGCTGTGCTGCCCTATCTACGCAGGCAGCAAACACTACCGCGCAATAGCAAAGGCCACGGGCCTGAAGCACGGCCATGTAGCAAGACAAGCGCATCACCGCCCAGACAACGCCTCGCAAGCGACAATGACATGGCGTAACCTTTGATGGTGGAAGCAGCAACAGGCCATCAAGAATGGAGCCAGACAAGCGTCCAGATACAATTCCTTTCTAGATGTGGAGAGGTACTTGGTGCGTACGGCGGGACTGGGCTGGCTCCAAGACAGAGGCGCGTGGTCCTCCTTGCAGAGCAGCTTCACACAAGCGTGCAATGTACAAAGCTTGCACCAAACAGGACAAGCAAGCAGAGCAATCCCGCTACTCATCAAACGCGACAAACCACCACCTCACCACACAACACCGCCGCCTCGCTACAACAGCGCAAGTCTCAAACGCCGCAGAAGAAACAACAGAAGAAGACGGAAGCATAAGCAAGACAAAGCATGGCTGCAGATGCTTGCGCAGGTGTCTTCGGAGGCATGCCAACAGCCTGCAAGCTCCGATGCAATCTCCGTGCGCGCCCCAAGCCGCAACCCTCCCAAGGAATGCCCGTGGACGACTTGGGCCACGACTTCGTTGCCCTCACCTGCTTACAACCATACCCAGGAGGAATGGCCCACTGAGAACTGCTCCACGCGCAACGAGCACTGGCGCGACAGCTGGCGCGACAGCTGGCGCGACAGCTGGCAGACAGGATGGTGACAGGACAACCAAGCCACAACATGCGCCCGCACCAAGACCAGACATGGTCCCAAACCACAAGCAGGCTGGCAATCGAGCCAGTCGTGGACAAGCCGCTGCGACCGTGCCGAACAACGGCAACCACATAGCGCAGCAGCGACGCAGCCAACCTACAGCCGCAGCCACAGCAATCGCAACATGCCCCCCAAGAAGAGGACCATCGCCGCCAAACCGCAGAACAACACCAGCAGCAGCAAGGGACCAACGTGGGCAGAAGGAACAAGCCAGAAGAGCCCCCTAGCCTGCCGTACGCAGTACGCCGCAGACCATGCCGGAACGCACCAACGCAACAACAAGAAAGCCCGGGAAGCAAACGCAGAAGCAGCCCATCCACAAGCAGCAACACAGCAAGCCGCAGCGCCGCCAACAGACCCTACCAGCCAACACGCCGGGCAGCAAGCAACACCTGTGCCGCGCTGTTGCAGATACACACCACAAGACTCAAAGCAGCGCAAGAAGCCAAAGAAGCAACAGCCAAGCTTAAGCAACAACAACAGCAACCACAGCAACCACCAGTCACCAGAACAACGCCGCGCCAGCATCGGCCGCAGCAACCAACAGGCAGCAGGAAATCACCGTACCAACAACAATCAGCATCAGCTTCTAGCTCACGCAAACCACCGCCGCCAGCAAAAGCAGCGCCTGCTACAGTTTCCACCAAAGCCACGCCCGCCAACAAAGTTGGCGGACGACCAGCAGAACAACCATCCAGACAGGCTCAACACGCGCAGCCCAGGCAGCAACACAGTCACCACTACATGACCCTGCGCCACAACCAAGACCTGCAGCTGCACCTGGAAGACGAGATGCAGATCACGTGCTTCCCCAAATCACCAGCGTCAGCAGCAATGAAAGGCCAAGGAGGTGGGGGCCGCAGACAGCAGATGCGCAACAGCAACAGCAACAGCAACAGCAACACAGCTACGTCGAGACATACAGACGAGCCCGCCGAGAAGCCATCGCGCCGGGCGCCGCGCCTACCACGCAGCAACTTGATGCAGCCAACCAAACCAGCAACACAGACGCGCAACAAGTCACCCACCACCCAACACTACAACAACAAACAGAGCAACCGCCGACAACACCTTCACGACCAGCAGCGCAAACATCATCACCAGCAGAGCCGTGGGCGCCAGCAGGCACTCCTCGCATTGTCCCTCACGGGGAACAACAATTCCTGGCCAAACTACAGCAACATGCAAACCAACAAACGCAACCACCCCGCAGGAGCCAGATCCAGCGGAGCAACACCCACAGGCATGCCAAGCAGCAGCGACGGGGCAGCAGACCAAGCCACAGTGCAGCGCGCCCTGCAGCTAGCAGGCCCCGCGCTGCCACACACACAGTCAGTGTCTGGCAACTGACGCGCGTAGGGAACAACCAATTCCTGCTGGAACCACAACAGCCACAGAGCACCACCTTTTACCATGAGTTTCAGCCAACCAGCGTTCATACACTAACACACGAGCCTCAATCACCACCAACGCAGCAGGGACAGGAAGCTGCAGCCAGAGTGGGCCAGACAACGACGCCGCAAGAACAGGAAGCAGGCGCACCGCAGCCACCGCCACTATCACAACCACAGCCCCCGCAACCACCACAATGCGAGACAGACACGGACATGGCGAGCATACCAGAGGCACCAGCAGAGGAAGCGTCCCTCATGCAACGGCCAGCGAGCAGCAACAACAACACACATCAACAACAAGCATTACGCTCCGACAGGACAGAAGCAAAGCCACAAGCGGAAGCAGGTGAACGACAACAACAGTGTCGTGACGCCGCTGCAGAAACTGATGCCCAGCCTGTAGCAACACGCAGCAGCAGCAACAGCAAAGAACCCAAAACCACAGCAGTGAAAGCCAATCCACGACCAAGCCAGACACCTAACCCACCAGAGAGCAAGAACCTGCCTGCCACAAACAACAGCAGCAGCAGTAGCAAGAAACCCAAGCAAACCAACGCAATCACAGTCACCACTTTCACTTCACCACATTCCTCAACGAGCAACCTCCATTCCCTGCCCTCCAACACAGGCTCCCTCTCCTCAGGGATTTGCTCCAGCGCCAAGTGGCAGCACATGGTCCACCACAATCAGCATCGTCCACAAACCCCATGCCTCCACCACGACCACCACAAACCACAAGAGAACAAGCAGAGCTGGCCCTGCGAATAGCCCAGTCACTGTCACTAACAAGCCACCTGCAGCAGCTCACCACCAAAATTATGGAGAGCTACCACAGGCCCCTGCCAACAGAACCGCACGACAATGAGGTGATTTTCATAGACAGCCGAGACTCGCAGCAGCAGCACGAAGCAACACAAGTCACAGGACAACCACCATGAGGCAACACAACCACACAATGCACCACCAGCACAACAACCGGCATCACCAGACCAGCAACCAGGATGGATCCAAGCAACGACGCCAGCAGCAACACAGCCAGACCACACAACACAACCGCAACAACCATGGTGGGTCCTGGGACGACCCACGCCACCGACAGCAACAGCAATATGGCCACCAGCAAGGCACACAACAACCACAAATCAGGGAGAACAACCAGGGAACACAACCAGCAACCAGCCGCCACAACCAATAGCAGCTGCAGCCCACACACAAGCCACCCAACAGTCATGATGGATTTTAGGCAGGCATCCACCCACGCAGCTGGACATCTTCGAGGCACCGCTGAGAAGCGCGCCGTCGCATATGACGCAAGCTGACTCGGAGGATGGCGAAGACCAAGTGGAGCCTGCAAACGACACGGAGGGCTACTACCACTACCACCCCTACTGAGAGTGCACATAACTACACATGACGATTTGGCATTTGTGTTGGCTACCCAAAACAGGTGAAACTGGTTGGGCTGAAATTTACTTTTCTTTGTGACATCCCGACGGTTAAGGGGGGTACCTCCTCCAGCACTGCAATACAGATTTCCTGACATGTTTTAAGCACTGTGCTGGCTTCAGGAAACAGGACATGTCACGAAAAGTGACTTTTGTGTGCTTTGACACGCAAGAGAAAGAGGCACCAAAAGTCACTTTGGTCAGAGTGACAAAAGTGTTGAACTTGGTTAGTGTGAAATTGTACTAGCAGAAACTTATTTATACATGGTGAATTGGCGATTGTGTTGGTTACCTAAAGGAGGTGAAATTTGTCAGGACCAGAATTGGAATTGTTTCCCTACTGCGGTGCGTCTAACCGAGAGTGACTACGTACCTTGCAGCTTTCACCTCTTGGGAGAAATGGAAACAACAGCTTGCAGGAGATAGGTGCTTCCGTGTCGACCCCTAGTTTGCTTATCCGCTGCTGGCCTCAGGGTTTTTTGGGTTTTAGCACAGCCAAAAGGTAGTCTACAGTTAGGGGGCCTATATCATTTTCCTGCGGTGTTTTGGCTATGTTGTCCCTTGCCCTGATTCTGTAGCTTTGGCCAAACTACTACATGGCACTTATCTGCTTGTGGTCTTTCAGCACATTCGATTGAATATCGTATGAGAGACTCAGAACATGCTGGTTTTCGCAACATTTCCATCGTCCTTGGAATCCCACCCCCAATGTCCCCCCTCCGCTTCTCCCAGTCTCCTTGGACCCCCTGTTGATCGAGTCTTTCTGGTTGCTGAGAGAGCAGGATGGGGGGTGGATTCCAAGCAGGTCTGATACTGCTTTCTGCTTGTCAGGCCAAAGGGTGCTCGTATCTGGTGCTTTGGCTGGATTGCGATCGAGAAGGGGAGAACATTTGCTACGAGGCAGGGCAATTGTACAGGACAGCAACTTTGAGTGTAAAGGTCACGGTTAGGTCATGGACAATGCGGTTCCAAATTTGTCCTCTGCTGGTGGACAGCAGCAAGTCTGGCGCGCGCAATTCTCTTCATTGGCTCCGGTGGACCTCAAACGGGCCATGGCCAGTCTCGGGTCTCCGAACAAGGACATGTCCGACTCTGTGGATGCTCGCGCAGAAGCTTGGTGCCCAAGAGCTCTCACTTCAGTTACGGCACTGAAGCCACCTGCTTTGCAGCAAACACAGCAGTTGGCCATATCCTCATAAGTGGGTATGGTCCAATGGGTGTAGGTGACTTCGTAATCCCCAATACTCCTAACAATACCTCCAGGACCTGGTAAAGAGTCTTGCCCAGGAGATGGACTTGAAGCTTGGTTGTGCATTCACACGCTTTCAGACAAAGTACTTCCAGGGGAAGTATGGAGATCTGGACACCAACCTGGTTTCATATGGTCCCTGCCAGACGCCGACGCTCTGGTTTTGCGTGAGACGTAGCGACGAGATCAATTCTTTCCAGCCAGAAAGTTATTATACGATCGATGCAACAATTTCGAAGATTGGTAGACATCTTGACTTACAGTGGGACAGAGGCCAGGTTTTCGACATGCCTGTTGCCAGCTTGTTTATGAACCTGATTCAAGACACCGCTAAAGCCATGGTCACCGAGATCTCGCAGAAGGAGGATAGGATGGCGCGCCCGCAAGCCTTGAACACTGTCGCGATGCTGAAGATGGCCAGCACAAGGCGTGGTGAAGAAGTGAGATAAGGTCAATTGCTGATGCATGAGAGGACACTCTGGTAAGTTGCTGACACCTTCCGAAAACCCATGTCATAAAGCCTTGTTGCTTGCTTTTGGAATGGAAGCAACCAGGCAGTCGCACAGCCGTGCTTCAGAACATGGTCAGGAATTGAGATTTTAACATTTCAAGGAACTAAGACAAATGGATCCTTACGTGGCTCGGCATTTTCGAAAAGCTTTGGGTCACAGCTAAATCAAAGCAGTCACGTGTTCGAGAATGCGAGTTGTGTCTCGTTGACCCATGAGAAATTATGCTTGCCGCCATGCGTTAAGGTTTGTTGTCTTGCAACCCCCAAGTTCGAGCTGTGTCTTCTTAGATTTTTGCTAGCCGAATGAGCCGTCTTCGTGAATGCTCTTGTGTAGGCTGCTAATCTGCAGGCCCTTGCTGAAGTGTTGTGAAGCACATGCATGCATGTGAGGAGTATCATGCGCCGGCGTACGGCAGGCGTCAGCTGTTCGCCGTGCACCCGTTTGATTTTCCCACCCACCCACACCGGGGAGTTCTGAACTCGACGCGGACCATGCGAACGCGTCGGGCGGGTGCAGTATGCACCCCCGCTCGGGCCACAGTTCGGCGATGGATCTGCGATGGAATCGCAAAAAAAACTTGTATGCATCCCCACTATGCAATTCTGAGCTTCGTTTCGACGTGGCGTGTCAAAATCCCAGCCAGCATTTTGCAAGACATGCAAGTTGCTGCAGGCTTGGACTTGGACCGCAGCAGGCAATGCATATGGCGGAGCGATTGTACTTGGACGGCTACCTGACCTACCCTCGGACAGAGACAAATACCTATCCAAAAAATTTCGACTTGCAGGCTTGGCTATGGCATGTCTCTTGAATATGTTGTGACGCGTTCTCTGCTGTCAGGGCGCTGTTCGAGCACAGTCTGGTCATCATACCTGGGGTCCATACTGTCAAGATCTGCTTTCAAAAGGACTTGCGAAAGCTAGGGAAGGTCGGCTAGCATCTGCTTTTCTGCACATGAGCATTGTAGGCATGACGAGGCCTTCATTTAAGTATGAAAGGTGTGGACATGGGCGACCACCCGCCCATAACGCCTGTACGTGCTGCATCTGAAAGTCAGCTTGGAGATGCCTATCGCTTGTACGCCACTCATCGAGATGATTAGTTTTGAACGATCTTTGCAGATGATGCAACTTTCAACTCTGGACTGGCGAACAGTTTGATATACTGCTATGTATCTCATCAGGAGTCATTTCGCCTGTCGTTCCTTCAGTCTAAGATGGAGAACTTGCTTCATCAGACCTGCTGGTTGTTTTTTCAGTCATTCCGGATGTACTAAGTAGCGCTTAAGAACATCATCACAGCGCAGATCGCTGGGCCACGGAGTGAAATCTTGTGCTGAGGAGATGATCACTCGCCACTTCTTGGCAACTGTCAGTTCTGACTGCAAATTTCTGAGAACACGAGTGAACTTGGACATAAATGGCGAGGGCTTCTCGCTGACCGGCCGCAAAGTCATAGATCCTGGCTTTACGGCCATACAGCGCAGTGGCGAGATGGAGGACGTCGTTATACCTGATTTCAGCAGAGGGGAAGCAGTTGAGGTGAAGAAAGTTTCCATGGGAAGCCATAAGACACGACCTCCGCCGTACTTATCAGAATCTGACCTTCTCTCGCTAATGGAGAAGCATGGAATTGGAACTGACGCATCCATGGCAACCCACATCAATAATATTTGCGAGAGAAACTATGTGAAGCTTGCAGAGGGTCGACGCCTCATACCTACACAACTGGGCATTGCACTTGTGCATGGATACCAGATGGTGGACAATGAGCTAGTGATTCCCAAAGTACGTGCCAATATGGAGAAGAACTGCACCCTTGTAGCGGAAGGCAAGGCTGACATTATGCCGGTGGTTCAGCATTGCTTGCGGCTCTTTCGTGACAAGTTCATCTACTACGAAGCTTGGCTTTCGACTGTTGTCGAATTCTTGTTTATTTCCAGACTTACTGTTGCAGTGTTGTGTGCCTCTCCTTTCTTGAGGTCGCAAATGTTGATCTGGTTGACCAGCTCTTTGAGACGATCTTCAAGTCCTTGGAGGCAGCTCTGTGTGGACATAGGATCCAAATATGTCTGAATCATGTTTGCCAAGGATCAACAGTTCTTGCGTCCTGCTTGTCAAAATGTTAGATTGCTTAAGGCCGCGTAAGCTGCAATTCTGAAGCTTTTTGTCAGGCAGCCGGCAGGCCGCTCTCAAGATGTGGAGATTGCCAGCGGTGGCTTGAGTGTGATGTAGACTTCGTCTTTCTTAATTGAAAGATCTGACAGATTCCGGGTGCCTTCCGGGTGCTCATTGAAAGGTATCTCTCGGTGGTCGACAGGAAGCCGGTTCGAATGTTTTGCAAAACGCCGGTAGCTCAGTTACGGCCTATCACTGGCAAAGCTGGCAAAGCTGGCAAAGCTGGCAATGGGTTTTAACAATGGTCGCGATTCGTTTGTTTTTTGTTCATCAGACTGGCTCTGCTGAGACACTGAGGTGCAACCGCATCTTCAAGATGCCGCAGAACGGACAGATGAAACTGTACAAAGAGCTTAAGTGCCCGTTGGATAACTTCGAGCTGCCTGGCGCAAATGGTCATGACTTTGAGTTTAGGCAAGAGTGTTCATTCACGTATATTCACGTTGCAGTCTGCTCGGCAGGCACCAAAGCTAGAACAAGCTTGGCAGTGGTAGGATCTGAAGTTTCGCCCATGTCGATAACACCATTGTTGTAGCTTCTGGTGAGTCCCTGTGTATTGCTTGCGGACTCGAAGAGATGCCTTTGGTGTAGACACGCTTAGACAAGCTCTTTGTTGTTGGATGTGGTTTGCCAGCTTCCATAATCTGCGAGTCGTCTGGCAGACCTAGGCTAGGCCAGGCGCCTTCGTTGTCGCGCGCGCGTAGAGCGTATGCAGTTTGATCTGTGTGCCAGCGTGCTAATTCCCCCTAACTAGCGCTTGCAGCTAACACACTTTGGCTGCAGGGTTCGCCTTCTTGGCCCGGCAACTGGTGTCGTTGCCATAGTTCTCTGTTGCTGGTGGTTTTCTTCGTGTTGCTGCGCCGCTGCTGCAATGGAACGGCCCCGGCGACGGGTGAGCTCTGCGCCGTATGGTTTGTGCGACTTGGGCTTAGGTCTTCCCCGTCTTGCGCGAGTTCAGAAATTGTTGCCTGGTGGTGCCCGCGTTGGATCTTGGGATTTGCCGCAAGATCCCGCTGGTGCCTCTGGGCATTTGACTGTTGGGAATTCTGGTACTTCTTGTATTGTAAGGCGATCTCCAAACATAGTGTGGCTAGTATTGATGTGAACGCACAAGTTTCGCTCCGCCAAGAAGAGGACAAGGATCGGGCCAAGTGGGCCAAGGTTTGGGTTTCTCTGGTGTGGCAATTCCAGCAAGACAGCGGTGTTCTGCGTGACCTACGAGGGCGTGACCGCGCGGAGGCCACTTTCCTGTACCTGGATAAGGCTGCGGGCACTTTGAGGCGTCATGGCTAGAAGGTCTGGGTTTCCTTTTGTCAAGTAGTGCAGGCGTCCCGTACTTCGTCCTTGCCAAACTTCATGCTGGACTTCCTGCAAGCTCTTGGTGAGGGAGTGGCTGCGGATAGAGGCTCACAGCGACAGCGATCTGCCAAGAGTGTTGTGGCTGCTTTGCGATTCGCGGCAGCCAAATTGCAGCTTGTTTGCACTTTGGTTTGCGACATTGGCTTCGCAGCAGGGATGAGGCTGAAGAGTTGGAATTTACAGGACCGTGGTTGCTGAATGCCAAGTCCGGGTGGTAGCAAAACCACCGTGCTCTCAAGTGAGCCGTGTGTGTGGCGTTTCGCCTGTCGGCCCGACAATCCATGTGGAATGGGATTCTCGGCTTTTCAACATGTTGGCTGCTTTGGGAGATTCACGAGGGCAAGAGAGCCTACGTGATCCAAGTAACCTGCGATTGCTCGCTTCTGCTTGCGTTTGTGTGTGGGGCGCGCTTGGACTGCGTGTTTTTTGCCCTCCTTGATTGGAGTGGATTGAGGAGACTTGTGTTGAGTATAGACAGTTCTTGTCCTTCTGTAGGACTAGTACAGGTGAGGGCCCAAGTGTCCTGCAGTTTTTGCTGCTGCTTTGTTTTTTAAGGGAGCTCACATGAGTGGGTGTCTCTCGTCCCTGGGTAGTGCTTTGGGCGGTGGCTGGGAACTTGCACATGCAAGGATGCCCCTTGGCTTGGGCCTTGCTTGCTCGCTTGCGCGGGAAGTAGGTTGTGTTTCGGTGCTGACAAAATTTGACATTTTCTCACTTGCTGAGTGTGTTTTTGTGTTTCCTGTGCTGCTGCGATGGCCGATGCTGCAGCGCCCTCGCCATGGAGGGCTAGTCTGCTGGCTTCGGGCCTGACTGAAGCCTTGGCAAAACGTGTGGCAGACACGTATGTCAGCGAAGTGATTTTCGCTCGCTCCTTCAAAGACAAGGCCTAAGGCCAACCTGGACGTATATGCCAAGCAGCTGCTGATCGAAGCCGGACTCTACTTGGGGGCTGATGACAGTGGGGCCAGTTTGAACCATAGCCCTATGGTTGGCGCGAGCAATTTGGCGCAAGCCCAAATTTCTTGTATGCAACATGTTGCCTCTTCCGCCGCCAGCGCCTGCCGCGCAGTTGGCTCTTGCGACGGTTCCTTGCGCACCTGCCAGTGGCTTGCTCTCAGTGTCTGGGGCACAGGTGAAGATGAACACCGTTGAGAGGGATCGTGTGAAGCGCTTTTGAGAAGTCCTACCCGGGCGTCGTGTTGGCCCAGTGTTGGCGCCCTCTGTTCTGCCGGGCTTGCGTTTCCTGCAAAGCATTCAGGCACAGGTAAATTCTAACGCATGGGAGTGGTTGTGCTGGAAGTGCATGTTAGTAAGGAATGTGTTGGCCAAATGCGTGACCGCAAAAGTGGCTCCACGCCAGTCGAGCTGGTAGATGTGCTGGCTGAAGCGGCTGGTTTAGTGCAAGACGAACTTGATATTGACTTGGGCGGTTCAATTTACCGGGTTGAGAAACTTCTCTTGGTGCGTGCGCGCTCTTACTGTATGGCTGGTGCCTGCCACTTGTCTAGTTGGATGACCTACATTCATGCCTTTATGAACCTCTACACCAAGAAGCCGCCTGAGGGGTTCTGGGCCCCGAATGTGAAGGAGGCCGAGGAAGCAGACAAAGTAGCCATTTGCACCATCTTTGAGCTGGTGTTTGACGGCGCCTCTCACGATGATGCTATCAGTACTGTTGTTTGCAATCGGAGTATGCTTCGTGCCTTGTTGGTCCCACAGGTCAAGGTCGCTAAGGCTTCTGCGAAAGTGGCTTCTAGCATTCTAGGCCCAACGGGTCCACTCAGCCTCCAGGATCATAAACGTAGAAATACTGGCGCCGAATTAAACCATGGCAAGCGTCCTAAGGTCGGTCTTTGTCATGGGTGGCAGGAAGGGATATGTAGCTGCTCTGAGCAGGATTGCAAGTTTCAGCGCAAATGCTCTATTTGCTTTTCCACTAGTCACCGTGCCAGCGCTTGCCCTGCCAATCCAGTCAATAAAAGTTGACTGGCTGCTCTGGACTTGCCTGCGTCCGCGCAGGGGGGATCTGGCTCTGTGACAGGTGCTACTGAGTGCCTTGATTTGCCAGTTCCTGCGTTGTCTTGTTCAGAAAATAGAGATTGCCCCTCGCAGCCCTCGGTTCAGGGTTCTTTAACTGTGCCCAGTGTGCTTTAACGAAGGCCTTCCTATCAGCCTGCTGGGACACAGTCGTTGGCTGCTCCCGCGCGCGATTGCAAGCAGTCTGTACCCTTGTCGCCTCCTCCCATTACCGATGGGGGTGGGTGCCAGTCGGACTGGCTTACGCCTCGGGTGGTCGTTGTTGATGGCTTTAAGGAGCTCCGCTTGACCTTTGGTAGGCTCGCGCGTGAGTGGAATGTTGCGTCGCACATGACGGCGCATGTGGAAGCCCAGTCATCCAGCAGCTTATTCATTTCTAAGGAATTGAGGTTCTTCAGGGTGCACTAGCTCAACTCACTGATGACATCGATCTTGCCTTGCCTGCAATCTTGCGTCAGGGTGTTTATACGGGCATTCTTTCCCCCGTTGAGCCATTTGGCGTCTGGGAGCCCGTGCCAATACCGGAAGAGGTCCTTAGGGACCTGCTTGTGCGTCGCGAACCCTGGGGAATCGCCCAAGCAGACCTTGATTTGGCATGGTCTTTAGTGCAGAAAGATGTTGAAAAGGGACATATTTTCCCACTGCCTCGTGGTGAAGCTGAGGCCCGCTCTAGATGGGGTGCCAGTTTGGCGGCTGGGAAACTCGGCGTGGTTAAAGCGTGGGCAAGAAGCTTAGACTTGTTGGAGATGGAAGCATGTCGGGTTCCCATTCCGGTCCCGCGTTCGCGAGAAGATACGACTTCCTAACTTGGAAGCCGTGCAGCGTTTCCTTAGTCCTGTTGAGCCCGGCAGTGAGTGGTTTGCTCTGAGCTTTGATGTGCGAGACGCTCACAAGCTCATCCTGGTGGATGCGCAGGAACAGGGGTTTAGCTGTTTCGTCCTTGATGGGTTGATTTTATGGTGGACTTACGGCGCCGTGTGGCTGCGGCCTTGGCTTAGGCTTGTACCAGCTGCTACTCAGGCCGGGTGGTGTGGTGTGCTGGTGCGTTAACCTGCCACAGTTCGGAGAGTTGCGCCAGTTCCTGTCACCACGTTTGGTGGTTCTTCAGTCTTTGGCTTCATGCGATATCTTGGCAGATTGGAAGCTGCGCAGCGTAAATAACACGGTTGTTGCCTCGCCGGATGCCCCGGCTTTGTTGTACCCGAGGGTGCGTGCAAGTACTGTATGATTATCACAGCCCCTGTGTCACCGTTAATCAGTCTGGGCATCCACTCAAAGCGGGTATAGGAGGAGCTCCCTGATGCTGCAGGGGACTTTTCCAGGGCCAAGTGGTTCTCGATCCAGCTGGTCCCCAGTGATCTGCCTGGGTGGTTGCAGGGAACTAAGGAGTCGGGCTTGCAGGGCATGCTCGCCAGCCTCGAGGCTGTTGCGCTGCTTGTGCTTGCAGTTCTCCGGGTGCAGTGCTCGGGTCCTGTCTCTAGCGGCCTTTGCTGTGTCCAGTTCGCACGGTTGTGTGATAACGCCTCCGTGTCTTCTTCTGTGTTCAAGATGTTGTCCATGCACGAGCCTCTTTGTTTTGTGCTTCAGGCGCTTGGGTTCTGGGCCGTCGTTTTGGCTTTCACTTGCAGATTTCGCACATTGCAGGCATCCGCAACACTCTGTCAGATGCCCTCAGTCGTGATTCAATTCCTGCAACTTTCCTGGACTGCAATCGCCTGCGTATTTGTGTGAAAGACCTCTTGGCCGAGCCCTGGCTTGCTCCTACGGTTACCTAGGATCCTTTGTTCCCCTAGTTAGGTGGTGTTTGCCTGCCTTGGCCAGGTTCGCATTGTTCTGCCATCCACACCTTGCAGGTTGGGGAGATTAGGGTTTAGTGGCATGGTATGCGCAATGGTCGCTCTGCACCTTTCAGTGGGGGAGGTGCCAGCAGCTGAGGGATGTCGCCCAGGCTGCTTGGCCTTTGTGCGTTGCGTTCATTGAGACGTGTTTTGCATGCGTCTTGCTTTTAGGTTGTAAAGCTTGCATGCCTGTGCGTCCCTCACCTAAAGTGTGTTTGTATGCCAGCGTGCTAATTCCCCCTAACTAGCGCTTGCAGCTAACACACTTTGGCTGCAGGGTTCGCCTTTTTGACCCGGCAACTGGTGTCGTTGCCAAATTTTCCCACGCCCTTTTGCTTGTGCAGCTTGCTTCAGTTCCTTCGGCTGCCGTGGCTCCTGGGGAAGGGCCAATGGTGTGATTGGGCCCCGCGCGCCTTTTTTGGTTTCAGGAGGGAGGTGCCAGCAGCTGAGGGATGTCCCTCAGGCTGCTTGGCCTTTGTGCATTGCGACCATTGAAAAGTGTTTTGCATGCGTCGTGCTTTTAGGTTGTAAAGCTTGCATGCCTTTGCATCCCTGATTTAAAGTGCGTTACTTTGAGTGGTTGGGGGATGTGATGTTGGGCAGATTGGGGCATGTTGTAGACGTGGAATCTTCCATGCGACCGTATGAAGCCTCCCACGTACGCAAACAACCCTTGTAATTTCAAGATCCAACCCACAATGCGGGAAACGTCTGAACAATTTGAGGAACTGGGTAGTCCACAACGTGTAGCGTACAATTCGTACAGTCACGTGCATTCTTGCCATCCTTTCCTAGACTGGTGTCCGAGGCTGGTTTTTGTCGCGAACAAGGCAGGGTCAAAGCAACCAGCACCGATTCCGTCTAAGCCTACAGGCTTCTAGCTTGACATATTTACCAACATTCACCAAGACTCTGGTTGACGGACATTGAGAGGTTGGCAAAAGCTATCCCATCTGCCCTATGTGCTATGATGATCCACCCTTTGGTGCCAAGGAAGAGTGGCCAAGCTGCAAAGATCGAGCTCCCATGTGCTAGAATCTGCTGGAGGGTTTTGCTGTCTGAGGCAGGGCAAGCATTGGAATCTGGATCATCCGATTTACAAGAAGTATCGCCCAGCTGTGGCTGGTCCAAGTTCTGGCACGGCTTTGCATAGAGTCAGTCTGACGTAGCAGGCATGGTAAGGGCGGCAGCATCATGCAGAACTACTGTACTGCACATAGTCTTGCCACGTAACCTGCTTAATTAGAAAGCCCCTTTGCTAGGTGTGCTGCTGACTGACTGACTGACTGACTTATGAGGCCCTGTGCAATACCTCAATTACCTTGTAAAATCTCCCTAAGCATTTTTATGGCAATTACAGAATCCTCCAGCTGCATAGTTGGGTTGACAGGCCGACCAGGAAAACGCGGAACAGCGGGCAGGTTGAGGGAAGGCTAGAGGGGGAGGGCAGCCGGGGGGGCGGGGGCGGGAAGGAACATGAAAATTTCACAGAATCCTCCTATGGAGCAGAGAAACCCTGCATAGTCTTGCCATGTCAACTGTGTACACAACCCCTCACAGAGCTCTACGTGAGCGGCTGAAACACAGGAAGCCCTGTGAACCAGACCCACTAAGCCCCCAAGACACACTTAATTAATAATCTCCCGCAATGCGGGCCGTTGTGGGTGCTGAGCCGAGGTCTTGCAGATTGTATAGCAGCCTGGATCAAGACCAATTCAAATCAACTTCAAACAGAAGCCCTGCACAGTCTTGCCATCTAACCTGCTTACACAACCCCTTACAGAGCCCTAGCTGTGCTGCTGAGTCACAATAGCCTTATGAAGCCCTGTGCAATACCTGAATGGCCTTGCGGCTGGGGGGGGCAGGGCGGGGGGGGAAGGGGTGGGGCGGAGAGGCCGTAAAGTAATTTCTCACAATGCGGGTGTTGCTCCTAGGCCGAGGGGGCTGGGGGCTCCGAAAAATCGAAAATTTCACTGAACCTCTGTAGAAACTGCTGCACTTTCCGCCCGGTCCCGCCAGAGCAGCCCCAATCAAAGGTTGGGGTGTGGAGGCCCTCTGCGCACCGCTCTGGGGAAGGGGTGTGGGTAGAGTATTGCTCCCCCAGACGCCAGAGGCCAGGGGCCTCGGCTGATAAAAGAGATTCCTCATATTCCGAATGGAGATAATTTCCGGCCATGCTGCAGAAGAACATGAGATCAGAGCTCTTCACCAGATTGCGAAGGCGGAAAACATATGTTTGTCTCATAAAGCTCGTTGTCTTCTGTCGTCTCTAAAAAGTGAGAAAATTGTCAACATTACTCCAGCTTCACTTTCACATGCCCACACCTTTTGTCGACTTAAGCCGGGCCTTACGAAGTTACGAAGCCCGAAAATTATACCGACAGCCGTTCTGTCTGTCCCGCGTCACCCGCTTGTGATCAGAGGAGCCGCAGCTTTTCAAGCTGGAAGCTGGGTTGAATGGTTCAAGCTTTGCAAAAAGTTCAGGGGACGGTCGATCTCAAAATTTGGCACTACTTCAGGATGCGTGATTTGGACATTCCGGGTCAGGCAAATCTTCTTGGAAGGTGACCAGGCATCGGACTGCAGCAGAATGCGCATGCTTTTTCACAGAAGCCTTGCTGAAGGTCATGTCATGCATAGCAGACAATTGTTCTGGAACTCTCTGCTTGGACGTGGACTCTGGACCGAAGTGGCAGATTGATTGCAATGTTTGTGGCAGCCTCAGGAAAGCTTTCAAGGCAAAGCATCAATTAGCTGCGAGAGCGGGGGCCGTCTCAGCAAATGGGCCGGCTCGGACAGGCGTGCGATGTCAGCAACGGTTTCATGCATCCTTATGCGTGCGGACTGTTCTCTCACAAAGCAGCTTCTTTTTGTTTGGGGTGGGGGCGGGACCTGTAGGTGATGGGTAAGACCTACGGCCAACGGGTCTTAGGTCCAAATGGCTTGCGGATTTGAAGCGAGAGGCTTCGCTAGACTTTGCTTCGCTTAGGTTTGCAGCAATTGGCCATTTTTGAGGACAAGGCCAATCAATGCAGTCTCCAACAGACAGAGGCTGGTCTAGGAAGACTTCAGAGCACCGTGTGAAGCTGCAAGGCTCACAAGATCAAAGCTACCAGTGATTTGTGCGACGAGCACCTGGGCGCAAACGAGCAAGATGTCGGATAGCAGCAACTGGATGCAACTGGAGGTATTGTCATTCATGCCTACAGGAGATCTAGATGTGAGGTGTTCGTCCGTCCTCCTCGAAGTTGTGTTCAGCAAGGGCAAGTCTCCTCTCCCTGATGGTCAGATGGAGAGGAAGGCTCGGGCGCGTTTTGACGGCCGGAAAGGCTTTAAAGTCTTGACATGGCGCCAAATGGCGCCAAGATGCCAACAAAAGCACCTTGCCTTTCCATTTTCATAGTGGTCCGCAACTCTGCTGACAGGCGTGTTTAGTCTGCGACGTGACTTGGCCTGCTTCAGCATCAAGCTTCTGATGCTCCTGTGGAGACTTTCTGACTGAATTGTGTTGCTCAGATCTGAGGAAGTATTCAACGCGCATACTGTCTCCAAGACTGGAAAGAATTTCTTCCGGAGGAACCCTGGCAAGGGCAAGGCGGGTGCAATGCCAAATGGTATTCAAGCAAATGTAGTTGTTTGATTTCAGGGCAAGGGCAAAGGGAAGAAGGGCAAAGGAAGAGGCAAGGGGATGCGCGCGGCTCAACTCTGGGCACCCAGCTGAGCTGACATGGCTGAGCGTGAGTAATCCTCAAGACAAGGTCAGAGGAGGATAAGGCGGAGCAGCGAGGCCGCGAGCTAGCAAAGCAAAAGAAGTGCTCCTTGACCGCAAGCATCCGCAAGCGCTTCCAAGCCGGTTCATTATTTTCTAGCATCACTGAAGCCGATCAAGGACACTGCTTCTCGCGGGCATCTGCTGTTGACTGGCTTTGCAGCTCCGCCACTTGCGAAACCCTGCTCGAGATCGGAAATCTTCGTCGCGCCCTGCGATGCACAACGAGATGCCGGTGTATAGCGAGGAGGTCAGGCTGCTTGTAATGGGAACGTTCCTGTTACGAGCTGTGCAAGACCCACGGTGCCAAAGTGTTGGAGTGGCAGACAGATAGCCGGGCGATGAACGGCTTCAAAAAGAGAAAAGTGGCAGTTTTTTTTTGGAATTCACTGATAGCTTGTACGCTTCTGTGCGTGGCCTTGCTGGCATCTCAGCTTAGTAGATGGGGAGACATGAAGCTTGAGCGAGTAAGTCTGCTTCCTTGTGCGTGAGCCTTGGTTGGATCAATTCTGCATGTTACCCAAAGTTTGGTCGCATCTTTTCACAGTCTGTGCAAGATTCTTGCGACATGTCACTGGCTGTCACATGCAAGGCCGCTTGAAAAGCATGCGCTGGGCACTAAGAATTCCAATATTTGCAGTGGCATATCGCGGCAGCAGTTCTCCATGGCACGTGGCAGGCCAGCTGTTGAGGCTGCCTGGCCCTTGGTGCTGCTACATGGTGCTGTATTGCTGAACAGGATGCAAGTTTTTGTATGTAAATAAAAGTTTGGAAAAACAAATGCATCTTCAACCGTCTTCTCACACGTCGGTGCAGTGGCCATTTTCAGAAGCTCGGTGTATCTGAACTGAAGAAGAAGTTGCTACTTTCACTGATGACCAACGAAGGCTCCATTACTTGCTGCAGCAAAGGTCTGCAAACGTATGAACCAGATTGCATATTGTAGACAAGGCGTGTTCGTGAGCATCGCCACGAATGTACATTGCAGGTGTCGTCCGACTGAATTTTGCAGCAAGCTGCAGAGAGCAGCGACCTTGTTCCGATCCATCCAGCATTTGTGTGATCAAATTTTTCTGCAGCTGTTGACTGAGTACCTTTAGGTTAAGAATTTGGCTGTGAAGTGCTAGCCGTGACTTTGTTTCGAGGTGTCGCCGCATGCGGCAGCATTCCAGCTTCCAAGTCGGCGTTTCTGCGCAGTTTCGGTGGCACAAGTCAAGGACGGGCTTTGCCGGCTAAGACACTGCTTAGATCTGTAGACAGTGGCAATGGCAGGAACTGAGGGATAGAACTGGTGCTTCAATGGGTGCGCCAGATTGCAATTGTCCTGTGAGAGTGTTTATATTGTGGACCACGTGTGCCAGGGAAGCTTGCGTCTCAGACCTCGTCACTCCAGAGCTTGTTTTCAAAAGGACACTACAAGTATTGCCTTGCAGACCAGACAAGCACCAGATGCTCGGCCCAGGTGCAGAGAAGCCTTAAAAGAAGAGAGCGGGGATCTCGACAAGGCAATCAAATTGTGTGGAAGCTTTTTCTCGGAAAAAGTGCGGCATCTTGAAGACTCCTAGAGGTTTGTCCTTGAAGTGTGCACCCTCTGACGCGTCACACAGCAGATGCTTCAACGGAGAAATTAGTTCAAGCACTAGCAGGGATTTCTTCAAGGAATGTTTGCAAGTACGGCTTCACTAATCTGCTTGGACAAAGAAAGTATCAAAAGCATTCCGGAGCATCACAACATCCACCTTGGCCTCCATGAATGAAGGGAAAGCTTTGACACGGCTTGCAGCTTTTTTTTAAAAGGAGCTTGCCCATTGGGGGTCAGCGATATTATCTTCGTCCCCCGCATCAGCACACCAATAGCAGAGGAGCACGCCGAAGGAGCGCATTCTGGCATAGGAAGGAGGATGCTCCTGCCTGCATCTAATCTTCAATCTGGGCAACCCATATTAGGCTTCATATAGTGCACATGACAAAGGCAACGAGCTAAAACATAACGCGCAGAGCTACACACCGTTGTCACAGCCTGTCATGGCACATCATTGAGCACCGGAAGTCACAGGTTGCCTGAAAAGATCCGTGTCCATATCTGTGATATGCAAAAGCACATGCTGTGCACACATCATGCAATGCCGGCTCCACAATGTTTCAAGCAGCAAGGACCCAGCTTCAAGGCTGTCCAGCCGCATCAATGCCCAAGATCTGAGCAAACCCATCTCCAAGGGCATGGTAGATCAGTTGCATACGCAGACCCTGACTAGGGACATGCGGATGATAAGAAAGTAGCCAAGTAGAGCGGATTTCGTTTGCACTAACTTCGCCCTGATAGTCCCTTCTAGCATCCCATTACCCGATCAAGCATTTCCACAACATGTGTGGGATCAAGCAGTTCTGGCCCATGCATGAAGCGATTCATTGGATTCCGCCTCACCCTGTGTCGAAACTATGAGACTTCCCTGGCAGTTCGGCTATTTTTCTTTTTGCCAGAGGAGCATCATTGTCAGAATCTTCAATGCTTTCCGTGGAATAGGCATCAGAAGGGCAGACATATAATATCCCATGGCTTTAGCTCGAAACTGACACAGCGCAATAAGAATGATCAATGTAGCAACCTCCGGTCGCCGGAGGGCGCGCCCCGCAGCATACCGCATGTGCCAGCAAATCCGGGCCAGTCTTGGACCTAGCTGTCCTGTGATATATCCTTTTTTCCGGCAATTCATGACAAATCCCGGAACCAGCTCTAGTACTAGCAGTAGGTGGAACATTATACTTATTATTATTATTCTTATCGCAGATGAGAATTTTTATTGTTCCATAGGCAGGCCCAGAAGTCTACCCGGCGTGCTAAGCGATTGCATGGTCCTCTCTCAGCTGTTGTCAGAGAAAGATGGGTATGCCAAGAGTTGGCATCAGAAAAGAGGCCGCATGTTTTTTGTACAGAGGCATTGCCATCCTGAAAGCCATGCAACCTGAGCTGAACGAGCAAAACATCACCATCGGACCTGCTTGTGTGCGGTGCATCTTGATTTTTTCAGGGAGATATCTGCACCAACTAGGGACCTGCAGCAACACTCGTCTAGATCCCTGCTTTTCAACACAAGCCAATGGGGATGCCTGCTCCAACACATACGTACAATATTAGTACTAATAGTGACAACAACTATAGAAATGTTATAGTCACAGCAAAAATACTACTTGTTAGCATGTTGAGTTTGGCAGGCTTGGGTGCATGCAAATCATTCCCAAAAGCTCCTGCTGCTGCCATTTTGGGTCCAAGCTGGGCTGTGAGCCATGTTGGCAGCAGCTTTGTTTGACCTGAGCAGGAGTCGACCTGCAACTGATCTTACAGGAGTCGACCTGTGTGACACCTGTGAAAGGTGTTTGCAAGGTGCAACCTTGCTGATTGATTGTGCAAGGAAGGAATCTTTGCAGCCAGTTCTCAGAGGGAGTGACCCTCTCGAGTGTATGGAGCATGTCTTTGCTGAAGGGGCTGCTTACCATTATACAGAGGAGAATGTGTTGTCTCCGGCTACTTACCAAGAGTTTGCCACGGAGGTCCGCAGCAGGTGGCAGCATGGTGCCCATGCCGCGGCTTTGGGGCTGTGTGCTTCAGTGGTGGAAATCCAGCACAGCCCTCCCCATGGGCAGGGAGCCCGAGCTTCTCGGCATTGTGCCCGCGACTCGGGTTGCTCCCTGTACCTAAATTTCTTGCCAGCATTGTGAGCAGCTGCGAGCCGCTGTGCAGGAAATCTTTTTTTTCTTCTGGGAGTGTTGCAGGAACACACCTGTTGGTGCTGGGTCTTGCTAGCCGAATCACTTTCAAGTTCGCAGTGCTTAAGCTCTCCTTGCTTTGGGGCCCTGTGAAAATGACTCAGCTGCTTGTGCCTTGTGCAGGCAAGCCCTTTCTCAAGGCATATGAGCCTTCTGCAGGTTAGACCTGGGAGTCAGGAAGCACCCAGCTAAACTGTGCAGTGCTGGCCGTGCTGCCAACTTTCCACTCTCCTCTGTAGCGATGCTGAGAAAGTCCCCTCCAGACAGGCTCTCTGCAGCAACTGGGGTTCCTGTGCCTTGTTCAGGCAAGCTGGGAGCAGCATCTGCAGCAGCTGCCAAATCAGCCTCGGTCACCTCCTCCCAGGACCCTGCCAGGCTGCTTGGTGCAGAGGCTTCTGGAACTGTAGCTGCTGTAGTGGCTTCTGCAGGCTTGGTGTAGTGGCTTCTGCAAGCAGGGTGCTTGCAGCAGCCTCAGCAGCATTCACTTCCAAGTCGCTGCTGTCACTTGAGCTCTCCGACTCAGACTTGGCCGTTTCGAGTCGCCCAGGATCGGATCCAGTTGCTCTAGGATCCTCCACATCTGACATGCTTGCATCTCTTGTGCCCTCTTCGGGCAAGCCCTCAAGCGCCACAGAAGCAGAAGCAGCTGCAGATTCTGCAGGCAAGCCTCTGGAGGCACGAGCTGCAGGAGCTGTTGCTGCAGGAGCTATTGCTGCAGGAGCTGCTGCTGCAGGACGCTCCTTCTGCAGGAGGGGCTGGTGCAGGACGCCCTGGTGGAAAACAAGCGTTGGTGCAGAAGTGGCCTTGTACCTCCTGGCCATAGAAAGGTCAGGGCCGAGCAGTGTTCCAACTTGTTGTTGGGGTGTACAGATTGCTCTCAAGAGGGGCAGGACGTTCTGTTGATACACACCAGCGCCCCAACGAAGCTTTGCTTCATACAGGTTTAGCCACTCAGGATCCAAACCGTATGTGGTGGGGAAAAGCTTACTCCCTTCAGGGAGAGGACGGAGGCGGTCCGGAGGCTGGAGGACCGCCTGGAAAGGTGTGCGGCCTCGAGCTGTTCTCTGACGCCCTTGGCCCACCCCACGTACGTGGCTGCGGAAGCGCTTGGCGAACACAGGGATCGGGATATTTTCCCGCCCCAAGAAACGGCACAGATTCCGGCGAATCTGCGTCCTGAAGCCACGAGTGTCGAATATGTAAGTGGGGCAAAATGTCCAGGGCCTTAATCAGGCCAGAGGACTCGTCCTCATATCCGGGTCCTTGCTGGCTTCCTTGCCCAGCTCCTTCTTAGCTTCCAGCTTCACCCTTTAGGCTGGGCCTGGGCTTGTTGCTGCTGCAGGCGCAGGCAGAGGCTCCTACCACTTGAGCAGGCAAGGGGTTGCCCCCATTAGGGGCTGTGCCTTGTGCAGGCAAGGGGTTCCATCCCAGAAACAGGCTGCTGGGCCATATGCTGGCCAGTCACCGACATATTGCCCTTCAACTTAGGGTAACGGGTGCCACCCATTGCTGAATATCGGTTCTGCCAGGTAGCCCCCAGCTTCGCACTCCACCCAGCAGCGTGTTGGCAAATGCCTTCGCCACCACCGCTCATACCAATCGCCCCAGATAGCCTCCGCCGGCCAGTCACTTTCTGCTGCCTTGTTGCAGGCAAGCTGCAGCAGCAGCAACAACAGGGCCTTCTTCAGGCCAGCCATGCTGGGCAAGCAGAGTAGGGAGGCTAAGCGAGTTGCTACAAGCTTGAGACTGGCCTGCTTGCTTGCTAAACAAATCTAGGCTTGGGCTTCAGAAGCTCTTAGCTGGAATTTTTTTACAATGCTTAGGGTCTGCGCAACTAACAGGATTAGGTTTGGAATTTGTTAGGGGAAGAACTAAAATAGTTGAGCCTTACACACATGATAGGATGCTATGGAGCCTGCAAAATTTCCACGCATGCTTACGTGAGCTTTCAGATTTAAGTGCTTAGGGCTATACAACTCAAATTTGCAAAGACAAAACTGAATTTAGATTTTTTAAACACCCAAAAACAAGATCTCCAAAGAATTATTAGCAGCTAGGGTTTACATGTGCTTCAAATTTCTTACTAAACAGCCAGCTGCACCTCCATTTTTTTTGCACACTGCTTGGCAGGCTCCAGCCGGTGAAACTTGGCTGTGCCTTTTGCAGGCAAGCTAGAGAAGCAAAGCGCCTCTGGCCTTCCTGCAGGCTAGGGTGCTGGTGCTGGTCCATAGGCTGCGTCCAGATCTATCTCCAGAAAGAACTCATCCCTCTTGTCTTGCGCGTTCTGCTTGGTGATATTGGGCTCCTGGCAGATGTAGGGCAGAAGCTTGGCCAAGACCAGCGAGGGACTTCTCTTTGTCCTGCTTGGTGGCCTTGTGCACCACATAGGCCTTCTCCTTGGCGACGGTTTTCTTGACTAGCCCGAAGGACTTTGACTCCAGCCAGCAACTAGTCCTCTCAGCTGCAGGCCTTTTGCAGGCTGCCTTGCCCTTGGCCTTGGCTTTCGCCTTGCCTTTGGCCTTGGCCTTGGCGAGTTTGCAGACAAACTCTTCACTGGCGAGCTGAAGGCTTCGTCCGAACTGGACACTGCAACGCAATTCCGGAAGCCATCCGTGGGAGTCAGAATTCCTCTTCCAGAGGATCCTTTTCTTGGGAGTGCTGGGATCTGTAGCCTTCTGCAGGCTAGCTCCTGCTGCAGCAGCTCCTGCTGCAGAACTTGCTGCTGCTGAAGTTGCTGCTG